ATGATAAAGGAATAACAGGAAAAGTTGAAAGATGGATCTATAACTTCCTGACACATACAACACAGAGTAATAGTAAACAGAGTAAAGTCTGAGGCGGCTAGTAAAAAGCTGTTCCACAAGGCACAGTACTCGTCCCCATCCTGTTCCTCATCCTCATATCTGACATAGACAGAGATGTAAGCTGCAGCATCATGTCTTCCTTTGCAGATGACACCCAAGTTTGCATGACAGTGTCCTCCATTGAAGACTGCAAGACTCCAAGTGAACATCAACCACATCTTTAATATCGGAGTATAAAATAAATTCCAACCACACAATAGAGTGGAAAACTAATGTGAAGGACCTGGGAGTGATAATGTCAGAGGATCTCTCATTCAAAGATCACAACAATGTATCTACCACATCTACTAGAAAAATGATAAGATGGATAATGAGAACCTTCAAAACTAGGGATGCCAAACCCATGATGATTCTCTTCAAATCGCTTGTTCTCTTAAGGCTTGAATATTGCTGTACACTAATGGTGCCTTTCAAGGCAGGTGAAATTGCTGACCTGAAGAATGTACAGAGAACCTTCACAGCACACATAAGTACAATAAAGCTCCTAAATTACTGGAATGGTTGAGGTCCCTTGGTTTGTATTCCCTGGAATGCAGGCCAGAAAGATACTACTTGATAAGATAGACTTGGAAAATCCTAGAGGGATTAGTCCCAAATTTACACACGAAAATCACTCCCTATGAAAGCAAAAGACATGGCAGATGGTGCAACATCCCCACAATGAGAAGCAGGGGCACTAAGAGACAGCACAATAAGTGTCTGGGGGCCCAAGACTGACTGTTCAACTGCCTCCCAACATACATAAGACCCCTGGCTGTCTTCAAGAAGACACTATACAGGCACCTGAAGTCGGTACCTGACCAGCAGGGCTGTGGTTAGTATGTCAGTTTGTGTGCGGCCAGCAGTAATAACCTGGTTGATCAGGCCCTAATCCACCATGAGGCCTGGTCACAGACCGGGCTGTGGGGGTGTTCATCCCCAAAACCCTCTTCAGGTATACACTAGCATTCTCTTCTTTTACAGCCTCAGTCTTAAACAATGCTGGTGATATCACACATTGCTGTCTAATGCCTACTTATTCACAGAAATAGCTTCCCTCCCCCCTTTCCTTCTATCAGTCACTAATCCTCTGTTAAACTATTACTTTTTTTCCAGAATCCATGAATGTGATAAGTTGTTTACCTTTATGAAAGTATTATTTATCAGAGAATTATGGTCTTTGTCATGGCAATGCTGAGTGAGCTTTGGCTGACTCTGGATGGCTATAACATGCAGTGACTAAACTAAACAATAGTGTGTGCATTCACTGTGCTCTCCTGTTTGTTTGCACTTGCCTAACTTACCATGCACTTGTGTGCTTCAGTGTAAACACTTGGTCTACACATCACCTACCCTTCCTGTATCTTCTTCCTTCAGTCTTGTTCATGTTATTTTGACTAAATTTGATATGGTGTTTGTATGTTCATTCCCTAAGTGGCATTGCCTTAGAGATGACACATCTTGGTAAATTCCTAAATTTTTTCCTCTCATTTTGATATGAAACCTTAAATGATAAATGTTCACCCATATGGCATCAAATCACACACAAGTTCATCACTGGAGTGTCAATTTAATCCAGACATACTGAGATTGAATGAATGATGGTGAATGTGTTTTCTTTGTGTCATTCTGCCTTGGCAGAAGATGGCCAGTAATACAAATTTAAAAGGTTAAAATTTTGGCTATGATAAGTCAGCATTTGATTTGTGAATTTAAGTAGCCAGTACATAATTTTTTATATTTGTGGAAAGAAGGTTAAACGTAAAATTATCTTCCCTTAAACGTAAAATTATCTTCCCTTAACCATTACTGGTAGTAATGGTTATCATTTATGGCTTAGCCTTATTTTGTAGGGGTTACACTCAAAATAAATTATATTTTAATTAATATTATTATTATTATTATTAAACACATACAGGTTATAGACCTAGTAGTAATATGTTGCTGGTAATCTCATCACAAAAGTGTGTTGGTACCATGTGTTTGTTGAGTCACTCCCTAGACTTTGCCAGGTAGCATATTCCTGATGTCACGGCTTACATGGTCAGACAACCTAACTGTATTTTCTTGTGGTTTATACAGAAATGTAGCTTCTGATGGTAGAATCTTTGACTGTATATTTCATTGTCTAATTGGCTAAATTCATGGTGCTTTCTTGTTGGCTGTCTGTGAATGTTATTACTGAGGAGAATGTTAATCTCCCTTGAAACTTAATTTACATAAATCCTCATAAGACAGGGTTTCTTGGAATTATGGAAGGTAGAGGTGCTGGCACATGTTTGACTAATGTGGCTGAGAGAATAAATGCATGTGCATATATGTTTTTGTTCATCTGACAGTCAACAACGAGACATCATGGCTCTTTTTAATATGAAGTTATATTTTTAACCTAAGGCATAATTAACATTCCTTGAACACTAACTTTCCAAAAGATCTGATACTGTGACCTCTTTGGGATATGCTATGGATCTTTTTAGTGTCCCAGGACATAGTGCACTCACCTAGTACTTTCTTGTCTGCTTGCTCCTGCCTGTGTGTGCTTGTGTGTCCTTGGCCACATCTGTATCGTGCTCCCTATGGTGGTGGCACTGCTCCCGGAACCTCTGCTCCTTGGTGCTGGCCGCTCAAGTTGTGCCAGGTCAGTACTTCATATACTACCTAATCTGTATTTACTTCAAATGACCTTTGCATTTGGGTCTCAATTTACTTTACCCCTGGTGAGGTACTCTCGGGTTTGGTCGTGCAATAGAATTGTGATGAACCTCTCATTCACTTCAGTGATTGTTATACTTTATTTGTTCATCAGTATCAACAGTAAATTCTAATTAGAATGATTATATTTTAATATTTGCCCTCATTGGGAGCATACCAGGGTATAATGGATGAAGACTATTTCTAGAAGTATACCTCTATAAGGTTAAATTAAACTTTGCAAATATTATTATTATTTTATTATTATTATTATTATTATTATTGGTAACTGCTAAATTCATTAGTCATACAGAGTCTGGGAAGTGGGAGGTAATCACACTTGATCCAAGGAAAGGGTAGTTCCAATTCCTTGAGTGGAAGCCTTTCACCGACATCTTTGAAAGATGCTTTAATGTCAAGGTTGATTAACATTGCAGACAATATATATTCAAGACAATGTCCTTCCAAGGAAGGGGGCTGCCTTGATGCTAGTGAAGTTCTCTTCATCTGAAAAATTGGAGTTTTCCTTCCCTTCTCCTTGGATCAAATCTGGTGACCTTACATTCCCAAGACACTGTAGGGCTCCAATTGGTTTAGGGTTCACTTATGAATATAATAATGAGAACTTTTAATAGTTTTTATAATAATTACAAGTATAATGCTGTGCACAGCAGGTACAGTGTTGTGCACAGGTATAGGTTTATACAGAGCAAGTACAGTGCTGTACAATGAAATGAGTTAAAACACTACTGAGAAGTATTGATATTTCCAAAGGCAGGGGTTAAATATTATACGTAGTTACTAAGTGAATTTAGTGCTCGGTTTTTAGCAGGCTTCTTTGCCTTGAGGATTCGGCTGTGCACACTGAAGGATATGTGGCTTCTCCGCCTCAGTTCCTTGGTGATTATAATGGTATACTCTTAGGCAAACCTGAGGTATCCTGGATGCTGGCAACACTTTCTCTCACCTTGTGATAATATCAAAGGTTAATCTTGAATGAGTAAATTTTCAGTTCTCTGCATTATTCACTTTGTCTTAGCACTGTCATTGCTTTTTATCAAAACGTTTGGTTATTACTTTTATTCACATACCACTTTTTTATAAGATGTTTTATTCTTCATCTTGGCTTTGTCTGTCTGTTTATATATTTTAGCATCTTTCTTGCTCTAGGAGCTTTCTTTTATAGAGCTACCATCATGTTGAATCTTCTCAAATATTTCAGAGACCACCAAGTACAGAACATTTTAGAAAAAAATGGAAATGTTAGTATCAGACTAAAGGTTTTTAAGAAGTTAATAATGAATACTTATGATCATTAGCTTTAGAGGGTAAGAGCCCATAGTAATCTAATAAAGTCAAGCAGTGTGGCTTATTTCTGTTTGGGACAAAGGATCTCTCTCTTGTATATAAGCATGACTACATTATGTGATTTTTAAACTCAAACTTACCCACTTCATTTATTTGACTAGCACGGGTTTGATAGGAAGATGCACAGCCACACTGTAAGACTTGCCACTGATGATCACCCAGTCAAGCCCAAATTTTACAGGTCATCAAAAGATTAAGACCCATGCCAGGACACCTGTCTTGGCAAATATTATACATACAGTTTGCTTAACAGACAGAGCAGAAAATCATTGCTGCAATAACTCCCTGAAAATCAGCCTGAACATCATGGAATATTAAGTTGCTGTAGTCACTGGGAATCCTGGGACTGGGAATACCACTAAATGTTGTCCATTCAATACATTTGGCTATATATTTGAGCTCAGTTTGTATATCATAGACCATATCCATCTTATATTTATCTTAATTCATTACACAAATAATTAGTTTTGAGATCCTGACTGGATGTTGGAGATATAAGCAGTTGTGGGACTCTTAATGGATGTTTTGTCCACTGCATGAATGAAATGTCATCAATGAATAATCCATAACTGTGTTTGTGCCCCTTTACCAACCTCATTACACACCTTCCTTGGATCCGCCTAAATTACTTCTCATTATTTAGATGATGTATAATCCTTAGGGGTTTATCACTTCCCCATGAATATAACTATAAACTAAAAGTTAAAACCTTAATGTTGTCCACTCCACCTATCACATTTCCACGTATAGCTCAGTTTGTCTGGAACATGTCTTGCACAGAAGGTAGCTTTCTACTGCATTTCCAACACAGGCTATGAGTTCAATATTTTTTTCTGTTACAGTGCTGCGCAAAAGGCCTGTGAATCCCAAAATGGCAATGCGGCCTCTGTATTGGACCAGAATACAGTTAACTACACCAAAACCTCCCAAACCTGAGCCTAAACCCATAGAACAGGACAGTGTTGATGGTAATGAGAGTAAGGATGGTAGTCAAGAAAATGATGGTGAAGAGAAGGTGATTAAGAATGACAAAGGTGAAGATGATAGTCCTTCTGGAACACTGAAGAAAAGGTGAGCTTTTGTTGTCTCACATACTTTTGTTGTATCTCAGATACTTTTACCTAAATGGCTAAATAATCAGAAATTTGTATTTTTCTCCCATGAAGGGGGAATATTGATCCTGGTGAAGGGCTTGTGATTGAAGGAATTGGAGCTACCCTTTAAACCTGATTACCTCCCTCTTCCCCAGGTGCTGTGAGACCTCAACACATTTATCGCTTCATAAATTAATGTTTTTCATAATATTTTGACTTGATTACATATTTCAGAAGAATATCAGACATACCACTTTGGGATGAACTTGAAGAAGAAGAATTTGATGAATTAGAATTTGTTGACCTTTTTGCCCGACAAGTTACACAGCCACAGAAGAAAGAAAAAAAAGAAGATAAGCCAGTCAAGGTTAAGGTAAATATCTTGAAAGTTTTTATTTTTTTTGTGTGTGTAACAGATAATATTTGTAATAGTACCAGTTAGCCAGACTTCGAGTCTTGGAGGTGGAAAGTACAGTGCCTGCAGTCCAAAGGAGGAGTGGGAATGATTGCAGTCTGAGGGGCATCTGAACTATAGACAGTGGTAGAATGAATGATGGTGAAAGTGTTTTTTTTTTTGGGGTCACCCCCTGCCTCAGTGAGAGATGGCTAGTGTGTTAAAAAATTGTAAGTCATGTGACGTCAGTCTTAAAGTTTACTTTTTATTCATTTTATTTGTTTAAAATGTGAATCAGTTTGGAAAGTCAGCTAAGGAATGAGTGATAGGGAACATGTTTTTCTCATCTAAGTACTGATGCATTGCTTTTAGTTTCTTTAGTTATTAATACCAGTCTAAAACTGTTTTTCATAGTCAAGTTTTGGACCTGAGGATGCTGGTTGTTATCCATGGGCTACTTAATCTCTTTGTTGTGATCTGCTTAGTTTTAATAGGACACTGCTTATTGTAGAGGTTTTGTATTTTTTTTTTTTAAGAAAAATACTGACCCGTATGTCAGTGTTCCTATTATCACTGAACACACTGTACCAGTCATTGTCATTATTTCTGTAATGAAGTGTTTATTGATGTCTCATCATGGAAATGAAAGGAGATCTTGCGAGTTTTGAATGGTAGTTTATATGTGTTGGCTATGAAGAAGGTGGGGATGAAATTGTTTTTAAGATTGATCATTGAAAGATAGTGATCATGTTAGGATATGATCTTATGCCTGTACCTGTCTTCTCTCTCATCTTAGATTAAAAATGTCTAATAAGAGTGCCTTTTTTTTATAGGGAGAGAAAGAGAGGGGGGAGGGGGAGGGGAAGCTCCAGTTCATATAAATCTTGCCTAAATACAGTTCACACTGTGTACTGTACTTTGTACTGCTCTCTGGGGGTCAACAATAGCTAATCACCTGAAACCCATTATTATGTAGTCAAAATGAGCTCTCAGAATAATCATTCATTCAGGTTCCAAGCAAAAACACACACACACACACACACCACACACGTGGAATAAATAAGGTAGACAGAGACAGGTTGTTCCAGAGAGGGTACACAGAAACAAGGGGTCACAATTGGAAGCTGAAGACTCGGACGAGTCACAGGGATGTTAGGAAGTATTTCTCAAGTCATAGAGTCGTCAGGAAGTGGAATAGCCTAACAAGTAATGTAGTGGAGGCAGAAACCATACATAGCTTTAAGATGAGGTATGACAAAGCTCTGGAACCAGGGAGAGGGAGGACTTAGTAGCGATCAGTGAAGAGGCAGGGCCAGGAGCTGTGTCTCGACCCCTGCAACCACAATTAGGCAAGTACAATTGAGAGCGCGCGCGCACACACACACACACACACACATGCACACGCACACGGTGGGTGTATGACCCACTTAATATTTGTATTTATAACTCATTACAATTGTGACCAGGTGTGGATGTATCAGTGGCTCATTACTTTGTAATTTGTTCATGACTGTAACCATGTATAGGAGTGAGGCTGATTCATTACCTTTGTAACTTGCCATGATTGTGACCAGATCTACCTGGAGTTCATTACCTTTGTAACTAGTTCAGCTATAACTTTGGGGCCCAGTCCCTGAACCCATTATGTACCTTTGTAATCTTTTGACTACCGCCTACACGTTGGGTATGGGGTGCATAATAAAGATATTAAACTAACACACACACACATACACACATACATACACACATACATACACACATACATATATACATATATACATACATACATATGCACACACCTCCTCTCTTATTCAAGAATTTAAATTTGCTTAGCATACAAAATATTCAGTTGTGCACGCTATGTCTACAAGACACTTGTTTCTAACATTAACCCAGAACTTAAACTCTGAAGAGCTCCAATAGAACACATGATCACAGTGCAAGAAATGAACATACATATTTTTGAGATTCTATGTAAAGGGCTCAACTTTTTCAAAAACTCCATGCCAATAAAAGGCTCAAATACGTATTGAGCTCACTGCCTGAAAATTTCAAAAGCTCCCCAGCTGCCAACACCTTCACTAATATACCTGGAGGGTGTTCTGGGGATCAATGCCCCTATGGTCCAATCTATGACCAGGCCTCGCTGTGGAACAGAATCTGCCAAACAAGGTGTTATTGCTGGATGCGCACAAGCTGACGTATGAACCACAGCCCAACTGGTTAGGTACTGACTTTAGGTGCCTGTCCAGCTCCTTGAAGACAGCTTCGTCTATTGATAATTCCCCCTTGTGTATGCTGGGAGGCAGTTGAACAGTCTTGGGCTTCTGACACTTATTGTGTTCTCTTAGTGTACTCACGGCACCATTCTTTTTGTTGGGGGATGTTGCACCGCCTGCCGAGTCTCTTGGAATTTGTAGGGAGTGATTTCCGTGTGCAGATTTAGGACTAGTCCCTCTAGGATTTTTCAGGTGTAGATTATGATGCATCTTTCTTGCCTGCATTCCAAGGAGTACAGGTTAAGGGACTTCAACTGTTCCCGGTAATTGAGGTGCTGTATTGTACTTATACGTGCAGTGAAAGTTCTTTGTATATTCTCCAGGTCTGCAATTTTGCCTGCCTTGAAAAGGGCCATTAGTGTACAGCAATATTCCAGCCTAGAGAGAACAAGTGATTTGAAGAGAATCATCATTGGCTTGGCATCCCTAGTTTTGAAGGTTCACATTATCCATCCTATCATTTTCCTAGCAGATGTGGTAGAGACATTATTGTGATCTTTGAAGGTGAGATTTTTTGATATAACTCTTTTATGTGTGTGTAGTTAGAATTTGTTTTACACTCCAGTCTAGTTTATATTTCCTCAAGTTTTCCATAGTGGAGTAGTTGAAATTTGTCCTCGTTGACCTTCATACTGTTTTCCCCTGGCCCAGTTGAAGACTTGGTTAAAGTCCTCTTGGAGATTTGAAGTGTCTTTAATGGGTGACACTGTCATGAAAATTCTGGTATCATCAGCAAAGGAAGACACGGTGCTGTGGCATACATCTCTCTGTCAGATATGAGGATAAGGAAAGGGATGGGAGCAAGTACTGTACCTTGTGGAATGGAGGTTTTCATTGTAGGTGCCTCTGATTTGACTCTGTTTACTATTACTCTTTGTGTTCTACTTGTTAAAAAGTTAAAGCTCCATCTACCCACTTTTCCTGTTATTACTTTATCACACATTTTGTGCTTTTACACCATGAAGGCTTTTGCAGTGTGTGTATTCTACATCTGCATTCTGTTTGTTCTCCAGTGCAATTAAGGCCAAGTCATAGTGGTCCAATAGTTGAGAGGCAGCAGCAGCCTGCTGTAAACCCATGCTGCCCTGGGTTGTGCAATTGTTGGGTGTCCAGGCAGTTGGCGATCTTGCTTCTTAGAACCCTTTCAAACATTTTTATAATGGGGATGTTAGTGCTCTCAGTCTGTAAATCTTTGCAATTGCTTTACTGCCATCTTTGTGAAGTAGGGTTATATCCGTTGTATTTTAATGACTGTGGGATGACCCATGTCTGTGCTCTCTCTCAATAAAATATTTAACACAAGCGATAAGAGTTTCTTGCAGTTCTTGATGAACTTGGTTATATCCATTAATTGCCAGTAAATTCTCTTACATTGATTTCACCACTTTACCTCAGCCACTCCATAAAATGCAGGTCATTAAACTTATGTAGATTACATGTAATTTATTTGTATTTGTCCAGTTGGTCATTTGCAACCTGTCTCATTGTATTTGTGATTATAATGAAATACTCATGCTGTACTGATATATACATTGCTTACAGTTATGTGCTTGGTCTAGATTTTAATGATATTTAAGCTTTATAACTAGTTTGCTTGAAATGCTTTGTATAATGAGTGGCTTTCTTCTGAGCCTTCAGTTGTATCAAAGTATATTTGCATTACATATAAGATGTACCAATTTGAATGTAAAACTATCATTAACTTTTTTTTTTTGTGCGTGTGACTCGTAAGAAATAAAAATTTTATTCAAATCAAACCTTTTAGTTTTTTGATACATGTACGTACTTGAAAACTTGAGTTTGGGTAGATTTTGTGTATATACAGTATAGTTAATGTAGATGAATTTGTCTGATAGTTTACTTGTATTTCTGTTAAAAATAGTTTAATATAATTTCCATTCCACAGGTTGCTAAAGTTTTAGACAGCAAACGTTCTCAAAATGTAGGAATTTTCATAACTAGTCAGCACCTTGACATTGCTGATGTGGAAAATGGTAAGCAAGTCTTGACATACCTACCTGGATACCTACCTAGCATAAAGCATGAAAAAAAGTTTTTCAGTATGTCTGTATAAGTAATTTATGACAGCCTTTAGAAATTGAAGCTCATTATTATTTAGGGTTGTACTGTATTTGAAAATTCCAATACAGACAACATTTTTTTTTTTAGTGATATTTTGTTTAAGAATCTTTTATAGTTAATTAGATATTTTATTATTTTATTATCACACTGGCCGATTCCCACCAAGGCAGGTTGGCCCGAAAAAGAAAAACTTTCACCATCATTCACTCCATCACTGTCTTGCCAGAAGGGCACTTTACACTACAGTTTTTAAACTGCAACATTAACACCCCTCCTTCAGAGTGCAGGCACTGTACTTCCCATCTCCAGGACTCAAGTCCGGCCTGCCGGTTTCCCTGAACCCCTTCATAAATGTTACTTTGCTCACACTCCAACAGCATGTCAAGTATTAAAAACCATTTGTCTCCATTCACTCCTATCAAACACGCTCACGCATGCCTGCTGGAAGTCCAAGCCCCTCACACACAAAACCTCCTTTACCCCCTCTCTCCAACCTTTCCTAGGCCGACCCCTACCCCGCCTTCCTTCCACTACAGACTGATGCACTCTTGAAGTCATTCTGTTTCACTCCATTCTCTCTACATGTCCAAACCACCTCAACAACCCTTCCTCAGCCCTCTGGACAACAGTTTTGGTAATCCCGCACCTCCTCCTAACTTCCAAACTACGAATTCTCTGCATTATATTCACACCACACATTGCCCTCAGACATGACATCTCCACTGCCTCCAGCCTTCTCCTCGCTGCAACATTCATCAGCCATGCTTCACACCCATATAAGAGTGTTGGTAAAACTGTACTCTCATACATTCCCCTCTTTGCCTCCAAGGACAAAGTTCTTTGTCTCCACAGACTCCTAAGTGTACCACTCACTCTTTTCCCCTCATCAATTCTATGATTCACCTCATCTTTCATAGACCCATCCGCTGACACGTCCACTCCCAAATATCTGAATACATTCACCTCCTCCATACTCTCTCCCTCCAATCTGATATTCAATCTTTCATCACCTAATCTTTTTGTTATCCTCATAACCTTACTCTTTCCTGTATTCACCTTTAATTTTCTTCTTTTGTACACCCTACCAAATTCATTCACCAATCTCTGCAACTTCTCTTCAGAATCTCCCAAGAGCACAGTGTCATCAGCAAAGAGCAGCTGTGACAACTCCCACTTTGTGTGTGATTCTTTATCTTTTAACTCCACGCCTCTTGCCAAGACCCTCGCATTTACTTCTCTTACAACCCCATCTATAAATATATTAAACAACCATGGTGACATCACACATCCTTGTCTAAGGCCTACTTTTACTGGGAAATAATTTCCCTCTTTCCTACATACTCTAACTTGAGCCTCACTATCCTCGTAAAAACTCTTCACTGCTTTCAGTAACCTACCTCCTACACCATACACTTGCAACATCTGCCACATTGCCTCCCTATTCACCCTGTCATATGCCTTTTCCAAATCCATAAATGCCACAAAGACCTCTTTAGCCTTATCTAAATACTGTTCACTTATATGTTTCACTGTAAACACCTGGTCCACACACCCCAACAAAAGTGATCATACCCAGCCTTTCTAGTAACCAAGATAACAAGATAACTACTTCAAACTAGGATCACATTAAGACTCTGTGATGAGGCATCAGCCAGTAACTTTACCATCATAATCAGCAACATTTTCAGAGAGAATTTATGTATATTAAATAGGTTTAAGCATTTGAAGAGTGAGGGAGTATGTTGCCAGGCACTAGACTTTTTGTTGAGTTATTTTTAACTTAGTGATTTGCTGTAATGGATTTCTTGTTATAAAAATAGTGTTGTCTTAAGATAAACATTACATTTAATAATCTCATTTTTAGATAATTTAATTATAATAAACTTAACATTTCAGAATGTATGAACTAAATGTTGCCTATTTTTGTGACAGTTGTGTACATTTTGAATGTAAAATTTGCTTTAAGTGATGGTGAAAGCATCCTTGTTTTGAGTTGCCTTACGTAACTTGGTGGGACAGCAATGTGATTTTATTTATTAATTTTCCCACTATTAGGAAATTAGCTATTGACCAATCTGGCCTAACAACCCAACAATTCTATACGATGGGTGGAGCAGTTGACAACTAACACATAAATTGCAGGTAAAACTAGATGTTTTATTCCAGCCTCAATCATACAGTGGTACAGGACAAACTGAAACAATCTAAATACCAAAAAAAAGCACAGTACCGTGATTGGAACAATACACAAATAACCCGCACATAGAAGAGAGGAGCTTACGATGATGTTTCAGTCCGACTCGGACCATTTACAAAGTCACACTAACGAAAAGGAGAGCAGGATGGGTATATATAGGCAGGAGGTGCTAGTAGTAGTAGTAGTAGTAGTGGAGGGAAGGAAGTAGTAGTGGGGAGGTAGTAAGAGTAGGAGGGGGCCAATCAAATACATACTAAGAAACAGGAGCACTGCAAGGAAGCTAGGGGCCCACAGAGGGTAAGAGCAAGAACACTGAGGGGGGGAAAACAAATAAAATAAATAAAGAAAGAACAAATACACAGGGCAGAAGAAAGACAACCCAAAGGAAAGAGGAAGGAGAAGAAAAAAGGAGGAATCAGGTTAGGTCACGAGTGTTCTGAAGTTTGGAGCATTTTACAATGTAGTGGGAGAGGAAGGCATCTACAGAGATGAAGCCAGGACTAAGATTCATACAAGGAAAGTTGTGTATTAGGGAGGATTCAACCAGATGACGACTGTTAAAGTTGGAAGTAGGGAAGACAGTTTTAGCAGAAGACCAGTCAATAGAATGGCTGTGATCTCGGACTTGACAGAAAAGAGCATTGTTAGTGTCGGCAAGCCTAACACTATTTTTGTGCTCCCTAAGTCTGTCAGAAAGAGATCGACCAGTTTCTCCAAAGTATTGAAGAGGACAGGAGGAACAAGAAATAGAGTAGACACCAGGAGCATCTGTAGAGGGAGGAGAGGTATGAACGAGATTAGTGCGAAGAGTGTTAGTCTCGCAGAAAGTAAGTTTGATGTCTAAGGAACCGAGAGAGTTGTTGAGATTAAAAAGACTGGAAATGTAGGGAAGGCAGAGGACAGAAGAGTTCCCAGGAGTAGAGAGTTTGGGAGAGAAGAAACTACGTTTAGCACGTGAGAAGGCAGTCACTGAAATGGGAGGGGTAGCCATGTGCGGGTTATTTGTGTATTGAAACGACCTCTTTTTGTCTCCATTTTGTGGGTTGGTTCTGAAAGTTACTTTGTATAATCTCATTCTGCCAGCTTGTAAATATCCAACTGTTTACAAATGTCCTGCTAAATGAGGGAAAAAATGTCTTTGTACAGGAAACTAACAATGTAACGATCCATCCTGGGCTGTTTCAAGTCCCAGTTGTTACTTCATTGTGGTCCAGGATGAGCCAAAGCATTGCTGTTTCCACTTGGAGGGAGGGAGTGAGTTGTGGGAAATGCATTGCTGTCTCGTTTGGTATATGATCTAGACTCCAGAACCATGAGAGCCTAGACTTTAATTCTGTTCTGGGTCCTGCAATGTGACTGAGCACCTTGGCTCTCTCAAGCACCTCCCCATAGGTAAAAAAAAAAAAAAATAGTTCTTAGACGAGTTTCAGCTTCTGTAAATATTAGCTTACTCAAGAGCTGCTGCTACCTGTATAGTGTTTTGTCCTTGGAAAGTAGTATGTTAATTGATTTAGTATATACTGTATACAGATCCCCATTTAATGAAGATAGTAAATTTGCTCAAATTGTTCTATCTTATCCAGGGTTTTATCCTTGGAAATCAGTTGTGTTAGCCACTGTGCCACTTCTTTTTCATCCTTGTTTATTTATAAGGCCAGTAGTATGGTTATTAATGTGCTTTTTTTCTTGTGGTAAAAACTTCATTTACTTCAGATCTTGAGTTTTAATGAGTAAAATTAGATGTTCAATAAATATAAATACAATGTACATATAAATGCAATTTTTTTTTCCAGCTGTGTACAATTTCGACACTTCAGTTCTTGACCTGGAGGTTTTGCAGCAAGTATATGAAGTGGTATGTGTACCATGTATATATATCCAATACCATGTTAAAAATTGTAATCTTTAGTAAAGAATCTAATCTTAAATTTTTTTATTGCAAAGTATTTATGTGCATATGAAAACACCAATTAGGAAGTAGATTTTGAGATGGATTTATCTTTATAGTTTGTATTCCTTCTTAGTGTTTATATTGTATCTTCACTTTTGCCAGCACTTTGTGCACTAGTGAACCAGGTGTATACAGGTAATGAGCAGATTTCATGTACAGTGATGGATATGTGGAAAGTATACAGTGAAGGAGTGAAGGATGTGTGGGGATGATACGAATCATCTAGAAGTAGTCTTCAACCATTTACATCTGCTTAACCAGCTATGTCTCCCCATCACCTACACTGACTTCTCAAAAGTAAAACCTGCAATGTTACTACTTTAGCTATACAGATCCTTTGACTTGGGGTAAAAGTTTTCCCAAGTCACCGCTAGATGATACAGGAATCCAACTATAAGCTTGTCTATCTGCCAGAAAATTACTACTGTAATGTATTTTTAATTCTTATAATTTCAGGTAATATAATTTGCTACTCTGTATTTTAATACTACTACAGTAGTATGTAGTATCAGTGCAATGGCACCAGTCCTTTGTATGGGGTGTTGGTCCATGTCCAGTAATTGATCACTTCAGTATGACACTTTTGTTAAAGCAAGCACCCCCTTTTCCCAATCAGTCCATTACTCTGAGGTTTCACTGTACTTCACAACACTGTAAATTTCAGAAAGTTTTTGGTGTCTTACTTTGTTAAACTGGGTTGTAATTTAAATGAAATTGGCAAACACTACATATAGTTCTTCCATTTTTTTTAAATAAAACATGGACAGGGACTTGCAAATAGTTTCAGATTTCTGGCCAAATAAAATGAATTATTAGGAAAATGCAGAAAGTTGTAAGTACCATAGATATACGGCAATAAAATATATTGATGAGAGATTAAAGATAATTGAGGAAGTTAGTTGAATTCATGAAGTTGGGCAGAAATATACGTTAAATTGGAAAGATATATAATGACGATTCTGAGATAAAATATACGTATTAGAGCACCAAGTTAAAAGGAGCTCCAGTGAAAGAGGGAAGTGTGCAAAAGGAAAACATCTTTTTAGTGCAGAAAGAGTAGAGTAGTCTAGTGTGGTCTTGATAGAATGTGACATGAAATTTTATTTCAGTGTGGCCCCTTTCCTAAAAAGACCTGGAAATAAAGGTAGAAATTAGCTTCAATCTCTTGAAGACTGTCATTTCTCTAAGGGTCAAACTTCTGAGGGGCAGTGCTCTGCTAAATATGTGAATTCTTGTAAAATTCAACTTTCAGGTTAATATATTCTGCCAGAGTTGTATTGTTATGCCAGACTTCACTCCTGTCTACTACTTGTCCTGTAGGATGCCATCAAATATGCAGGAAATTCTATGCTTGTGATTATTATATTTTAAAGAATTTTTAATTTTTAATATGCTTTCTTTCAGAGAGGAAGTGAGGGAGAAATTACCTTAATAAAAGCCCAAGTAGAAGCCATGCCTGGTATTCCACTTGACAAACCTGAACAGTGAGTAATAGATTGTACAATCACCATACAATCAAATTAAAATTAAAATACTTTTTATGAGTCATACAAATTACTTACAGTAGTTATACTTTTGAATTGATTATATTTTGAATATTGCCTTATTATTATATGGATATAATTTGATACTAAGGCTCAGAAAAAGTCACTAATTATGCATATACATATCAGGCACACTAATCATGAGGCTTAAATACTTCCTGTATCTAGACCTAGTATATAATTTAAGTCTGCACAGCTTAGTTAATTCATTAAAATTACAACTACAGTACAATGAAGAATTCGTCAATCACATTGAAATTACATCTGTTCAATAACCTGCATTTAATGGAGTGGTTGAACTGAGATTGTGAAATCAAAGCATGAGAATTTACAGGCAGCTAATGGATATAACATTTATGCAAGATTTAATAGGTACTTTTTAACAATATATTTAGATGGAGAACTTTTAATGTTTTCAAGCAAAAAGTTCAAAAAATTTTTGGACCTTTTATCTGTGTGAAATTTTTGAACAGGTAGAGTCGCACACTTGTAATGTCAAGAGATATTTGTTCCTTGTATTGTGTCCATCTGTTCTGTTGGAACTCCAGAGTTTAAGCTCTGGGTTAATGTTTGAATTGAGTGTCTTGTAGAAAGTGAATATTTTGTATGTTAAAAAAATTAAAATTTTTGAACAAGGAAGATACGTGTTGGATGGAGCCTGAATGAGTTATTCTGAGAACTGATTTTTGCTGAGTAGCAGGTTTAACCCTTTCAATGGCCATCACATAGAACTACGTCATTGAGGCCAGGGTCCCTCACGCAGTTCTGCATCATGAGCTCAGTTCACTCACTTTGAGCTGTAAATTTTGGGCTAGATATAAGAAAATGGGTCTGCGCTGAGTGTGCACAGTCTAAAAAAAAAAAAAAAAAAAAAAAAAAAAAAAAAAATCCTGCCCCATGCAGTACATGATGGGAAAAGTAAATATCTGACCATGTGTTTAATTTAAAATAGCAACTTTAGTTTTCTTGGATGGTTTTTATGGTTTTACTCTGGTTCTTGGTATCATTTTATAGAATGGAAAACATACTACTTAAAGATGACTTCAGTTGGTCTCAGGACTAGAAGTAACTTGAAATTAGGCTCAAAGCAGTGGAAATGTTCTATTTTTGCCAGTTTTCCTGAGGACATAACTGCATACAGAAGAGGAGAACCTGCAGTTTGTTGCATGCAAATATAAGTGGCCAAAAACTTGGAACTATCTGCATGAAAATGCCAAGAGTTCCCCATATGCCAACATCTGTAATAATAATGTTAAAAAGCACCTATTAAATATCGCAGAAATGTCATATCCATTAACTGTCTACAAATTCTCATACTTTGAGTTCACCATGTCAATTCAGTCACTTCTATGGTCATAAAACTGATGTAAATTTTGTGTAATTTATTTGTAAATGACCAATTTGTTCGCAACCTGTCTTCCTGTACTTGTAATTGTAGCGAATTACACAAGCTGGCTATGCAGAGCATTTTATTGGTGCTTCATTATAGGCTTACTAATTTTTTGGAGTCTTGCAATGCATTAGTAATGCTAGTACAGTAATTGTTTTAACCAGATTTAGTACATTGTGTAAAAACTAATTTTAATTTCATATTGCATTTGCATTTCTTATTTGTTGCTAGGAGCACTGTTGCAAATTATTAAATGTTTTGGAAATACAGTGGACCCCCAACTTATGATCAGCTTCCAACTCAAACAATTATGTAAGTGTATTTTTGTAAGTGCTTTTGTAAGTGTATTTTTGGGAGTCTGAAATGGACTAATCTAATTTACAATATTCCTCATGGGAGTAAATTCGTTCGGTAACGGCCCCCCAGACAGCCTTCTGGAACTAATTAATATCGTAAGTCGGGGGTCCACTGTACTGAATTTACTGCATTTAGGTAGGACTACATTTTATGTTAAATTTATTTTTATAAACTTTTTTTTTTTTTTTTCAGATTTTTGTTAGACCTCTCCAAAATCAATGAATTTGCAGAGCGTACTGCCTGTTTTATGTTCCAGGCAACATTTGCTGAAGATTTGGGTGTAATACACAGCAGAATAAGTATGCTGCAAACCACTATAGATGTAAGTTATCAAGTTTTTATCTTCTGGATTAATTTAATTATACATTTGTTTTAACTTTAATTTTTTTTTAGCATTAGTCATCTATCACTAAGGCAGTGTGAAGCAGTTAAACTCATTTACCATCATTCATTTGTAATTTATAATTAATTAATCTGTCACTCATCAGTTATTGTTAACCCTTTCAGGTCCGAGACCCCTGATCTCAAAACTTGCTCTCAGGCTCAAAGAATTAAAAAAAAAAAAAATATTTTATCTTGTGAAGTGGTAGAGAATTTTTTTCCAAAGGTATTGAAACCAAAAGTTTGAAATTTGATGGGAAACTTGTGGAATTAACCTCTCGCAAGGTTAGCAGTCTCACTAATATTTACACTTTGGTGATTTCGCCCACTTTGCACTCATAGCTATTTCACTATTATTCCTTCCATTCTGTCAACTGAGTACAAGAAACTGCTCATTTACCTATTTCAACTGCCCAGTAAAGTGATCAGAAATTGGTAATCTGGCCAATTTCACACAAAAATTCAAAAGTTGCCAATTTAAAAACAGGATCCAGAGTAAACAATGTAGACATTCCTGACAAAAAAAAAACATTTCCTTTGTTCCTTAGTCACATCTCCAGGTTCCTCTTTCATTAAGCTTGCTTTCCATTTTTTTAATTTTTATTCACACAAAAAAATAGAAGATTTACTGTTATACAGACAACTGCATTATTGTAATACAGTGGACCCCCGCATAACGATCACCTCCCAATGCGACCAATTATGTAAGTGTATTTATGTAAGTGCGTTTGTACGTGTTTGTTTGGGGGTCTGAAATGGACTAATCTACCTCACAATATTCCTTATGGGAACAAATTCGGTCAGTACTGGCACCTGAACATACTTCTGGAATGAAAAAATATCGTTAACCGGGGGTCCACTGTAATTGTATAAATGTCAAGTGTATTACTAAATACATATTAGATGTCCTGTCTAAGGGCACTGTGTGGTGTAAATATTATGCAGAAAATTCGGAATGTGGAAATTAGGAGAAGGTGTGGAGTTAATAAAAGTATGTCAGAGGGCTGAAGAGGGGTTGTTGAGGTGGTTTGGTCATTTAGAGAGAATGGATCAAAGTAGAATGACATGGAGAGCGTATAAATCTGTAGGGGAAGGAAGGCGGGGTAGGGGTCGTCCTCGAAAAGGTTGGAGGGAGGGGGTAAAGGAGGTGTTGTGGGCGAGGGGTTTGGACTTCCAGCAAGCGTGCGTGAGCATGTTAGACAGGAGTGAATGGAGACGAATGGTATTTGGGACCTGACGAGCTATTGGAGTGTGAGCAGGGTAATATCTAGTGAAGGGATTCAGGGAAACCGGTTATTTTATATAACCGGACTTGAGTCTTGGAAATGGGAAGTACAATGCCTGCATTCTAAAGGAGGGGTTTGGGATAGTGGCAGTTTGGAGAGATATATTGTGTATTTTTATACATATATACAGTGGACCCTCAACCAGTGATATTAATTCATTCCTTAGAGCTCATCGTTAATCGAAATAATTGTTAGTAAAGTTAATTTTCCCCATAAGAAATAATGGAAATCAAATTAATCCGTGCAAGTCACCCCAAAGTATTGAAAAAAAAAATTTACCACATGAAATATTAATTTTAATACACACAAACTGAAGAAGACATGCACAGTTACATGACACTTATCTTTATTGAAGATCTGGTGATGATTGATGGGATAGGAGGAGGGGAGACCGTTGATCTTCTTAGTGTTTAGAAGGGGAATCCCCTTCCATTAGCACTTGAGGTAGCAAGTCTTTTTCTGGGGTTACTTCCCTTGTTCTTTTAATGCCACTAGGACCAGCTTCAGAGTCACTGGACTTCTGTCGCACAACATATCTGTCCATAGATACCTGTACCTCTCATTCCTTTATGACTTTCCTAAAGTGGTTCACAACATTGTCAGTGTACAGGTTGCCAACACGGCTTGCAGTAGCTGTGTCAGGGTGATTTTCATCAAAAAAGGTTTGCACTTCAAGCCACTTTGCACACATTTCCTTAATCTTAGAAGTAGACAGCTTCTTCAGTTTCTCTATCCCCTCCTCCGAAGCAGTTTCCTCAGGTCTGCCCTCTTGCTGTTCAAGATGATCTAGCAGTTCATCAGTGGTTAGTTCTTCATTGTCCTCCTCCACCAGCTCTTCCACATCCTCCCCACTAACCTCCAACCCCAAGGACTTCCCCAATGCCACAATGGATTCCTCAACTGGCATAGGATTCTCAGGGTTAGCCTCAAACCCTTCACAATCCCTTTTGTCTACACATTCTGGCCACAGTTTTTTCCAAGCAGAGTTCAAGGTCCTCTTAGTCACTTCCTCCCAAGCCTTACCTATAATGTTTACACAATTGAGGATGGTAAAATGATCTTTCCAAAACTCTCTTAAAGTCAGTTGAGTTTCTGAGGTCACTACAAAACACCTTTCAAACATAGCTTTTGTGTACAGTCTTCTTGAAGTTGGAAATGACCTGCTGGTCCATGGGCTGCAGGAGAGGAGTGGTATTAGGAGGCAAAAAACTTCACCTTAATGAAGCTCATGTCCCTAGAAAGTCGCTCTGCCAAGTCTGAAGGATGACCAGAGCATTGTCTAATACCAGAGGCACTTTAGGTCTAATTTCTTTTCAATTAGGTAATTTTTCACATTGGGGGCAAATGCATGGTGTAACCAGTCATAGAAAAAGTCCCTAGTGACCCATGCCTTACTGTTTGCCCTCCACAGCACACACAAATTAGCCTTGACGACATTGTTTTTCCTGAACACTCTGGGAGTTTCAGAGTGATACACTAATAAAGGCTTCACTTTGCAATCACCACTAGCATTGGCACACATCAACAGAGTAAGCCTGTCTTTCATAGGCTTATGTCCTGGGAGTGCCTTTTCCTCCTGAGTAATGTACGTCCTGCTTGGCATTTTCTTCCAAAACAGGCCTGTTTCATCACAATTAAACACTTGTTCAGGTTTCAGTCGTTCACTGTCTATGTACTCCTTGAATTCCTGCACATATTTTTCAGCCGCTTTGTGGTCCGAACTGGCAGCCTCACCATGCCTTATCACACTACGAATGCCACTACGCTTCTTAAATCTCTCAAACCAACCTTTGCTGGCCTTAAATTCACTTACATCACCACTGGTTGCTGGCATTTTTTTTAATTAAATCGTCATGCAACTTCCTAGCCTTTTCACATATGATCGCTTGAGAGATGCTATCTCCTGCTATCTGTTTCTCGTTTATCGACACCAATAAGAGTCTCATCATCATCTACTGCTTGCGATCTCAGTTTGAAAACATAGTTGCACCTTTGGCAAGAACAGCTTCCTTGATTGCCGTTTTCTTGCCCACAATAGTAGCGATGGTTGATTGGGGTTTATTATACAACTTGACCAGCTCAGAGACACGCACTCCACTTTCATACTTAGCAATGATCTCTTTCTTCATCTCCATAGTAATTCTCACCCTTTTTGCTGTAGGGTTGGCACTAGAAGCTTTCGTGGGGCCCATGGTGACTTATTTTGCAGGTGCAATCACTACAAAGGCTGTGATAATATGAAATGTTCCAGTTGTATGTTTGGAAGCGACTGCAGTGGCTGGCTTGTAAACACTGGCACCCACGAGACAAGTGAGGTGCGCTCAGGCCAAAGTGGACGCGTCTCGTACGGAACGAATAGCGCTGGTCAGGTTTTTAAGTGCTAGTCGAGGCAAAATTTTTGCGTTAAAATGTATCGCTAGTCAGATTTATCGTTAATCAATGCCATCGCTGGTTGAGGGTCCACTGTACTTCTAAACTGTTGTATTCTGGGCACCTCTGAAAAAACAGTGATTATGTGTGAGTGAGGTGAAAGTGTTGAATGATGATGAAAGTACTTTCTCTTTGGGGATTTTCTTTCTTTTTGGGTCACCCTGCCTCGGTGGGAGACAGCCGACTTGTTGGAAAAAAAAAAAAATAAAAATAAGCACATGTATTAACTCTTCACTGAAAGAAATATCACTAAATCCAATTGACATTAATTTTTCTCCAGGTTTTGCATTTCTTGCTAAAAGTTTGATGTAGTGTGTAAGTTCACAGGTAACTGCTTCATATGTATTAACCTTACCCAAGATGAAATTGCAGTGCTATATGACCCATGTGGGTTTAGCTCATTTTTTATTATATTACCAAAAAGGTGTCTAAATCTGAGGTGGAAGGAAGGTGTCATCCCAGGAAAGATTGGAGGGAGGGTGGGTGTGAAGGAGTTTAGTAATAGGGGGCTTGAGCATCCAGCATGTGTATGTTGCAGTGGTGTGAATGGGGAAGAGTGATTTTAAGGATTCGAGTTGCTGTTGGAGTGTGAAGGGTTCTTGAAAATCAGTTAGCCAAACTTGAGTCTTGGAGGTGGGAAGTAGTTCTTGCACTTTTGAAGAGTGGTGTGAATGTTGCAGTACAGAGGGTCATTGATCTGTGATTTCTGCACACCCTCTGCAAGACTAAGCAAATGATGGTGAATGTTTACTTTTTTGGGGATGGGGGGGGGGGTCATTTTAGCATAATAGATGACTGTGGTAAAAAAAAATCTTATGCTGGAGGGTCACCCCTTGAAGTATCCCATTATTTTCCTATTACACGATATTTTCCACATTTGTTAGGATAATAATATGTGTTGTTTCATTAGTGTGTAAGAAAAGTATACAGTATACCCCAATAGGTGTTTATATGGTGAAACTATACTTTTAATCCCTGTTCTAGATGTTAAATTATCCTTGACTGGTGGTGTACAGCTGTACATGCAGCGTTAATGACCATGTAGTTAGTAGGCTTTAAACCCAATAAACTAACTAATCATATTTAAATGTGTGTTTATGTTTCAGGTACTTATGACTAGTGATAGCATTAAAAAAATATTTGGGTTAATCTTAGCTATTGGAAATTATATGAATGGTGGGAATCGGACAAGAGGACAAGCAGACGGTTTTGGCTTGGAGATACTGCCAAAGATCAAGGATGTGAAAAGCAAAGAGGCTTCATACACTTTATTGCATTTTGTTGTCAACAAATATATTGAGGTATGTATTAATTTTTTATACTATGTTAAATTAGATTTATTCAGGATATCATGGCTTAAGAATACAACCTATGGATTTCATGGATTGTATTTCTTGAATATGAAGGCTTTCAAATTTTTTCAAACTCAATTTTAAATATTTATGTTGTCATAAACATTATAAGGTAGTCCCTAAATGTTTTATTATAATTTATAATGTGCTCATTGCTTATTCTGTTCACTTATGAGAAAATGCCCCTTCCAGGTTTTGAAGGAATTACATCTGTGTTAAGGGGTTGCATATGAGCTCCTCAAAAATTTGGCAGTATTTTTTTCTCATGGAGAGCACATTACAAATTTGCACAAAAAAAAAAAAAGGGGGGGGGGGGAAACTACCATACATAGTAAAACTTTATGGAGGTGATACATAGAACTGCCACCTTAAGGAAGGAGAGATCCACAGGAATCAAGCTATATGGGATTCATCTGTGTTGAGGGGGAACTTTCATGTGTTATAATTCTGTCTCATACAGTATTAAAAAAAAATCTTGAATTAGAATAGCAAATATAAATTTCATTGCAAGTGTTATTTATTAGGTAGGCAGTGATTAACAACACAATGTAAAAACAAATAAAAGAACAAAATTTATTATAGAAAATAAGTCTTGTTAAAAACTCGGATGACATACCTTAAAATACCTGCACCTTGAGTATCCCTGTAGTGTGTTCTAGGGATGAACACCCCCCATGGTATGATCCTTGACCAGACCTCATGGTAGATCAGAGCCTGATCAACCAGGCTGTTACTTCTGACAGCATGCTATTCAACTTATGAACCACACTCTGGCTGGTCAGGTACTGACTTTTGGTGCCTGTCCAGCTCCCTCTTGAAGACAAACAAACAACCAAACTATTTCTTTGTGCAGTACACAAAATGTAGCTTACATGTAATAAAACATTGTCAAGCACAAAAGAAAGCCACTAGCATGCATGTTCATTTTGGGAGTTCATTTGTACTCCTCCTCCCAGTGTATGCTGGGAGGCAGTTGAACAGTCTTTTCAATAATTAGGTGCAAGGGATCAGAAGCTTTGATAGCTTCAGTGGGCAGTGGTCAAAAAATTATAGGCACATGGAGCACTGAGCTCCAACATTTTAAGAGCTAAGTTACATTGGTAGTGAAATGTTTACAGATTTATGTTGACATTAGTTGTTTGTTGTTTACACAGGTGTAATTCAGTCACAGAAATTTTAACATTTATTTGGGCAAAGTCAAGGTGCATTTATAGAATTGCTGGTACTGTACAGTTATGGATTAAATATATTGAACATATTTGTACATCTGTAAGAAAGTTCTCTGAATTAAAGACTTTGTTTACATTGAAGTACATAGGGATGTACATAGGGATGCAGGGTGTGACAAAGATTTAATGTTTATAGAATGGTAGAATTTGTGGAAGAAGGTACTGTGTAATTAAATCATCTATACAACTTGTTGGCTTGTGATCTAATAATGTTCAAGGGATAGTAATTTGGAAGTTATTTTCCCATGGTGCTGGGAAGTGTCAGTGTTGCAGTATCTGATGCTGATCATGTCATTGGGCCAGAGTGATTGTGGTTTTTGTAATGAATTTCATTACTATTTATTTAGAATGTCTACAGTCAGAAATTAGCTTAGATGAATTGTGAATGAGGGAGTTTTAGGCTTTGCATTAGCTATTGAGATAGGATGAAGAATGACATGTATGTAACTCAGTTTAATAAAAGTATCCGAATGGGTGACCACTTGAACATGTATTGAGCTAGAGGGCTCTCAGATTCCTTACACAAGTTTGTTCACAGTATAGTGAAATTCTCGTTGCACGGCTTTCCCGTATTCAGCAAAGTACATCTATTTTCCTGATCTTTTGCTTCTCTTGACATCTACAAGGCCTGCTTTTAAAGTTTTTGCTGCAACCTTTATTGAAGGGTTGTCTGGTCAGTGCTCATTACTAACAAACTAGGATGGCAATCAAATATTAATGCTCAGAGAAAATTTAGACTTTAGTGGTAAATTTTTGCAACTGTTGATTACCTACTCAAATACAGTAGTACATTCTTCAGTTCACACATTGAACTGTTTTTACCTCAAATGCCTTGAATTTTGTATTGTAATATGTACTGCTATTTTATGGTATTCCCTTGATTTAGTAGTGCAGTATTTGATATTTCATTAACTCTAAAATAGAGCTAATTTTAAATGCTCAGAATTTAAAATGGGTAGTCTGTTAATACTTTTATTCCCCTGCTTAGACACTGCAGCTTGTATCAGTTTATACAGTTAAGACATATGTGCTTACTTTTTATGGCATTATACAAAATAATTATTGTCACTCTTTAACAGAAATATGAAGGTGAAGATGCAGGCACAGACAAGGCTCAGCTTCCCATTCCAGACCCATACATAGTTGAACGTGTTTCTAATATAAAATTCGAGGATTTAGAATCTGATTTGAAAGAAATTGAAAAGAATCTCAAAGGTGAGATCACATGCATGTTCGTTTATTAATTTTCACTAATTGTTGCCTCTTGGTACACAGCTGTTATTTTCTTAATTATTTTTTTTAACATGCTTACCCCCCCCCCCCCCAAAAAAAAAAAAAAAAATTATCACTGCCTTTGCAGGGGCATGCAGATATGACAGTTTAGATGTCACTCTTAAATAGCAAATATCCCAAACCCCTCCTTTAAAGTGCAGGCATTGTACTTCCCACCTCCAGGACTCAAGTCCAACTGACCGGTTTCCCTGAATCCCTTCATAAAATGTTATGCTGCTCACACTCCAACAGCTCATAAATTCCCAAAAACCATGAGTCTCCACTCGCTCCTATCTAACACACTCGCCTATGCCTGCTGTATGTCCAGATCTCTTGCACACAAAACCTCTTGTGTATATAATGTCTGAGCAATATATATCTCGTAGAAGGCATGCAGATGTGAAATAGGAAGACAACTTAGGAGAGTACAGTACTGTCTTTAATATGACAGGCCCTTCATTATTCCAGCAGAGTAAACCATGAGCACACAGTGATAAGATAGAGCAATGTGGCATAGGTAGGTTATTAACCTTTTGACTGTTTCAGTCGTATATATATATCTTATGAGCCACTGTGTTGGACATGTATATACTCAAAAATTCTGGCAACTTCAAATCAAGCAGGAGAAAGCTGGTAGGCCCACAGGTGAGAGAATGGGTCTGTGTGGTCAGTGTGTACCATATAAAAAAAATCCTGCAGCACGCAGTGCATAATGAGAAAAAAAACTCTGACCATGTTTTTGGATTAAAATGCCGACTTTGAGGTCTATTTTTGTATAGTTTTTATGGTTATATTATCGTTTTCTTGGTCTCATTTGATAGAATGGAAAATATATTATAGAAATAGAGGTGATTTTGATTGGTTTTACTATAAAAAGAACCTTGAAATGGAGCTCAAAGTAGGGGGAAATATTTGATTTTTCCAGATGTTCAAAAGTAAACAAATGATGTCATTGTCCAGTAAATGTCCAACTAGGCATTCTAATATGCAGTCATGAATGGGTTGACATTATATATATTCAATTATTACAATATTGCAGTAGTCTGCATAATGGTAAATCTTCTATTTTTTGTTTGAATAAAAATTCAAAACAGAAAGCAAGAGTAATATCAGAGGGGCCTGGAGACATGATTGATGAACAAAGAAAATGTTATTTTAGAGCCAGGAATGTATGCATTGTTCATTCTGGACCCTATTTTGAAATTGGCTTATTTTTTAATTTGCATGAAATTGGCCAAATTGCAAATTTCTGACCACGTTATTGGGTAGTTGTAATCGATAAATGGGCAGTTTCTCGTACTCAATCGATAGAACAAATGGAGTTCTAGAGAAATAGCTGAGTTTGGTGAACTGGAACAATGGAATTAGCCGAAAATATGGCTCAAACTGGGCAAAATCGCCGATTCATAAATATCGTCGAGGTCGCTACTTTGCGAGAGAGTAATTCCATAAGTTTTCCATCAGATTTTGCTCTTTTGGTGTCATTACCATCGGGAAAAGATTCTCTACCATTTCATAAGAAAATTTTTTTTTTTCCCCTCGACACCAGGAGACACCTCGGGATTTGGGGTTGCGACAGTCAAAGGGTTAAAGGCTGTACAGTGTTTAAGAGGAGAGTGAGGCTCAAGTTAGAGGATGTAGGAGAGAAATGGAACATTTTTCAATAATAGTATGCATTAAATAGAGATGTGCGATATCAGTGTTGTTTAATGTGTTGTAGTAAATTATCAATTTACTGGATTTCGGAAATACAGCAAAATCCTCTGGTTCAGTTGGTTCAAAAACTGGATAAAGTTCATTGGTTACAGAATTGTCTTGGTGTTACCAATCATGGTGAAGATATTTCTTGGAGGATTTTGCTTCACTAATAGGTGTTTGGATTTTTGCCATTGAAAATAGTGATAAATTTGGAAAATTACATTAAAATAATAATAAATTTAAATTCCTGGTGACAGTCATTAGGTATGATGATTTTCAGACCATGATTTTACATTATGAATTATTATACAGTAAAATATTTCAAAATTAATGTTATTGATTACATGCATTATATTTTCCCCGCCAGTGTGTGAGAATCGTGCTGAGAAAGTGATAAAGAAATCAGATGAAGAGCATTTACAACCATTCAAGGATTGTATGACAGAATTCATTGGCAAAGGTAAATTCTCCATTTACTCATGATTTAGTTTAAAAAGGAATAATGTATTACATAAATTTCACAGTAGGTAGTTATTGTAAATTTCTTACTGTACTTAACTACATCTATCCAATTTATTAACATGTAAAACTAGAGTAATTCTTTGTTATCCAGGAGGGAAGGGAAAGTTTATGTTCCTGGAGATGACACAGGTCACTCTTGTCACAGTAAACATGTTCACTAATTGTACTTTTTTTTTTACTACATTTCTCGACACACTTTTAACTCTTTAGAGCAAATTCGCCTTTCCCAATGTTCAGGGGGCATGATGCAAATTTTTGCATGGTAGTCATATCCAATAATTACACATTCATAGTAAATGATATAGGAAAGCAGCATATTTGCAATGCAAGACCCAAACATTACAGGACTAGGGTATTCAGATGTGCCACATCAACAAAGGACACCATGATCCTCGATGGTCCTAGTTTGGGCTATACTGTTTATACAGCAGTACTTTGCACAGTATGGTCTTGAACAGTAGTACATAATAACTACTTAAAACTAGACAAGATAACAGTGGTTAACTTAATTACTTTTTTTTTTTTTTTTTTTTTTTTTTTCAACAAGTCGGCCGTCTCCCACCGAGGCAGGGTGACCCAAAAAAGAAAGAAAATCCCCAAAAAGAAAATACTTTCATCATCATTCAACACTTTCACCACACTCACACATTATCACTGCTTTTGCAGAGGTGCTCAGAATACAACAGCTTAGAAGCATATACGTATAAAGATACACAACATATCCCTCCAAACTGCCAATATCCCAAACCCCTCCTTTAAAGTGCAGGCATTGTACTTCCCATTTCCAGGACTCAAGTCCGACTATATGAAAATAACCGGTTTCCCTGAATCCCTTCACTAAATATTACCCTGCTCACACTCCAACAGATCGTCAGGTCCCAAGTATCATTCGTCTCCATTCACTCCTATCTAACACGCTCATGCACGCCTGCTGGAAGTCCAAGCCCCTTGCCCACAAAACCTCCTTTACCCCCTCTTTCCAACCCTTTCGAGGACGACCCCTACCCCTCCTTCCTTCCCCTATAGATTTATATGCTTTCCATGTCATTCTACTTTGATCCATTCTCTCTAAATGACCAAACCACCTCAACAACCTCTCTTCTGCCCTCTGACTAATGCTTTTATTAACTCCACACCTTCTCCTAATTTCCACACTCCGAATTTTCTGCATAATATTTACACCACACATTGCCCTTAGACAGGACATCTCCACTGCCTCCAACCGTCTCCTCGCTGCTGCATTTACCACCCAAGCTTCACATCCATATAAGAGTGTTGGTACTACTATACTTTCATACATTCCCTTCTTTGCCTCCATAGATAATGTTTTTTGACTCCACATATACCTCAATGCACCACTCACCTTTTTTCCCTCATCAATTCTATGATTAACCTCATCCTTCATAAACCCATCCGCCGACAGGTCAACTCCCAAGTATCTGAAAACGTTCACTTCTTCCATACTCCTCCTCCCCAATTTGATATCCAATTTTTCTTTATCTAAATCATTTGATACCCTCATCACCTTACTCTTTTCTATGTTCACTTTCAACTTTCTACCTTTACACACATTCTCAAACTCATCCACTAACCTTTGCAATTTTTCTTTAGAATCTCCCATAAGCACAGTATCATCAGCAAAAAGTAACTGTGTCAGTTCCCATTTTGAATTTGATTCCCCATAATTTAATCCCACCCCTCTCCCGAACACCCTAGCATTTACTTCTTTTACAACCCCATCTATAAATATATTAAACAACCATGGTGACATTACACATCCCTGTCTAAGACCTACTTTTACCGGGAAGTATTCTCCCTCTCTTCTACATACCCTAACCTGAGCCTCACTATCCTCATAAAAACTCTTTACAGCATTTAGTAACTTACCACCTATTCCATATACTTGCAACATCTGCCACATTGCTCCTCTATCCACTCTTATCATATGCCTTTTCTAAATCCATAAATGCAATAAAAACTTCCCTACCTTTATCCAAATACTGTTCACATATATGCTTCAATGTAAACACTTGATCTACACATCCCCTACCCACTCTGAAGCCTCCCTGCTCATCCGCAATCCTACATTCTGTCTTACCTCTAATTCTTTCAATTATAACCCTACCGTATACTTTTCCTGGTATACTCAGTAGACTTATTCCTCTATAATTTTTACAATCTCTTTTGTCCCCTTTCCCTTTATATAAAGGGACTATACATGCTCTCCGCCAATCCCTAGGTACCTTCCCCTCTTTCATACATTTATTAAACAAAAGTACCAACCACTCCAACACTATATCCCCCCTGCTTTTAACATTTGTCATGATCCCATCAGTTCCAGCTGCTTTACCCCCTTTCATTCTACGTAATGCCTCACGTACCTCCACCACACTTACATTCTGCTCTTCTTCACTCCTAAAAGATGGTATACCTCCATGGCCAGTGCATGAAATTACCGCCTCCCTTTCTTCCTCAACATTTAAAAGTTCCTCAAAATATTCTCGCCATCTACCTAATACCTCCCTCTCCCCATCTACTAACTCCCCTACTCTGTTTTTAACTGACAAATCCATACTTTCCCTAGGCTTTCTTAACTTGTTTAACTCACTCCAAAATTTTTTCTTATTTTCATTAAAATTTCTTGACAGTGCCTCTCCACTCTTTCATCTGCTCTCCTTTTGCACTCTCTCACCACTCTCTTCACCTTTCTTTTACTCTCCATATACTCTGCTCTTCTTATAACACTTCTGCTTTGTAAAACCTCTCGTAAGCTACCTTTTTCTCTTTTATCACACCCTTTACTTCATCATTCCACCAATCACTCCTCTTTCCTCCTGCCCCCACCCTCCTATAACCACAAACTTCTGCCCCACATTCTAATACTGCATTTTTAAAACTATTCCAACCCTCTTCAACCCCCCCACTACTCATCTTTGCACTAGCCCACCTTTCTGCCAATAGTCGCTTATATCTCGCCTTAATATTAATATTAATGCAAGGTAGTCAGGGTGGAGATTTATAAGAATAATCTTGAAGTGGCACATAATAAAAATGTTACAATTAAAAGTTCAGGCAATAATATTTCATGGATTGGCAGATGTTAAAAGTTTGAGGTCACATAATATAACTAATTAGAAGTTGTTTTGGTTGATTTGGTTAGCGACAAATTCATTTACCGACTTGGTCTTAGGAACGGAACTCCATCGTTAAGTGAGGAGAGGCTGTAGTATATAAAGTACTGGTACCCTTTTTATTCACAAATATGAGTGGAATAAATGGGATTAGGTCAGCGGTTTCAAATAGAGTTAGAGCTAAAGGAGTAGTAATAATGTTGAAGGATAAGTTATGGCAGAAAAAGAGGGACTATAAATGTATTAATTCAAGGATTATGTGGAGTAAAATAAAGGTTGGATGTGAAAAGTGGGTTATAGTAAGTGTATATGCACCTGGAGAAGAGAGAAGTGTAGAGGAGAGAGAGAGATTTTTGGAAATGTTGAGTGAATGCTTGGGGAGTTTCGAACCAAGTGTGAGAGTAATGGTGGTTGGGGACTTCAATGCTAAAGTTGGAAAAAATGTTGTGGAGGGAGTAGTAGGTAAATTTAGGGTGCCAGTTGTAAATGAAAATGGGGAGCCTTTAATTGAGCTATGTGTAGAAAGAGGTTTGGTAATAAGTAATACATATTTTATGAAGAAGAGGATAAATAAATATACAAGGTATGATATAGCACGTAATGAAAGTAGTTTGTTAGATTATGTATTGGTGGATTAAAGGTTGATGGGTAGGCTCCAGGATGTACACGTTTAAAGAGGGGCAACTGATATATCGGATCATTATTTAGTTGTAGCTAGAGTAAGAGGTAGGTGGGAAAAGAGGAAAATGGCAACAACAAGCAAGAGGGAGGTGAAAGTGTATAAACTAAGGGAGGAGGAAGTTCAGGTGAGATATAAGCAACTATTGGCAGAAAGGTGGGCTAGTGCAAGTATGAGTAGTTGGGGGGTTGAAGAGGGTTGGAATAGTTTTAAAAGTGCAGCATTAGAATGTGGGGCAGAAGTTTGTGGTTACAGGAGAGTGGGTGCAGGAGGAATGAGGAGTGATTGGTGGAATGATGAAGTAAAGGGTGTGATAAAAAAGAAAAAGTTAGCTTATGAGAGGTTTTTACAAAGCAGAAGTGTTATAAGAAGAGTAGAGTATATGGAGAGTAAAAGAAATGTGAAGAGAGTGGTGAGAGAGTGCAAAAGGAGAGCAGATGATAGTGGGAGAGGCACTTTCAAGAAATTTTAATGAAAATAAGAAAAAATTTTGGAGTCAGTTAAACAAGTTAAGAAAGCCTAGAGAACGAATGGATTTGTCAGTTAAAAACAGAGTAGGGGAGTTAGTAGATGGGGAGATGGAGGTTTTGGGTAGATGGCGAGAATATTTTGAGGAACTTTTAAATGTCGACGAAGTAAGGGAAGCGGTAATTTCATGCACTGGCCAGGGAGGTATACCATCTTTTAGGAGTGAAGAAGAACAGGATGTGAGTGTGGGGGAGGTGCGTGAGGCATTACGTAGAATGAAAGGGGGTAAAGCAGCTGGAACTGATGGGATCATGACAGAAATGTTAAAAGCAGGGGGATATAGTGTTGGAGTGGTTGGTATTTTTGTTTAATAAATGTATGAAAGAGGGGAAAGTACCTAGGGATTGGCAGAGAGCAGGTTGGAGGGAGGGGGTAAAGGAGGTTTTGTGGGCAAGGGGCTTGGACTTCCAGCAAGCGTGCGTGAGCGTGTTAGATAGGAGTAAATGGAGACGAATGGTATTTGGGACCTGACGATCTGTTGGAGTGTGAGCAGGGTAATATTTAGTGAAGGGATTCAGGGAAACCGGCTATTATTATATAGCCGGACTTGAGTCCTGGAAATGGGAAGTACAATGCCTGCACTCTAAAGGAGGGGTTCGGGATATTAGCAGTTTGGAGGGATATGTTGTGTATCTTTATAGGTATATGCTTCTAATCTGTTGTGTACTGAGCACCTCTGCAAAAACAGTGATTATGTGTGAGTGAGGTGAAAGTGTTGAATGATGATGAAAGTATTTTCTTTTTGGGGATTTTCTTTCTTATTTGGGTCACCCTGCACACTATAATTTGTTCATGATTGTAGCCATGTATAAACGTAAGTAACCATTCTTACAGTATTCATTACCTTTGTAACTTGTGAGTTCATTACCTTGTACCTAGTTCAGCCATCAAAACTTTGGAGCCCAGTCCCTGGACCCATTACGTACCTCTGTAATCTGTAAATACCTTTGTAACTTGTCATGATTGTGACTAGACCTACCTGGAGTTCATTACCTTTGTAATTCATGAGTTCATTACCTTTGTAAATTGTGAATTCATTACCTCTGTAACTTGCTCAGCTATCAAAACTTTGGAGTCCAGTCCCTGGACCAATTATGTACCTTTGTAATCTTTTGACTACCGCCCACAGGATGGGTATGGGGTGCATAATAAACTTATTAAACTAACTAAAAAAACCTGCCTCGGTGGGAGACGGCCGACTTGTTAAAAAAAAAAAAAAAGTGGAAAGAGAAAATTCAATGATGCTGAGCATTCTAGTTAACGTAAATGGTTAACATTAGATGAAAAACTAGAAATTATAAAACAAAGATGGTGCATTGTATGCTAAAGTAGCACGTGACACGAATACGAGTAAAACTTCAGTACTTGCGCATATAAGGAATAAAGATAAAATAAAGAGACGTGGAATGGTTATCATCTTATATGTGAAAAGTGATTGTTAAAATCGTAGTTTTGAAATGGATAATATGGAACATCTTTTAATGTTATGGACTGAAGACTGCACCCCAAAAAGAATTCCATTGCCAGATGATTCAGGTTAAAGCAACAACTCTATTCAGTGTTAAAAAAAAGATTACAGCAATGGAGAGTTTTTTTGGCATGCTGTGACTGGTTTTACAACTTTAAAAAGCATATGGAACTCCATAATGTTTGAATTACTGGTTAGTGTAAGTGCAGACAATGAAGCAGCTGCAAAATTTCCTAATGGTCTAAAAAAGATTGACTGAAGAAAATGACTGCAAAGACGAGCAAATTTTTAACGTAGATGAAATGGGTTTGTTTTGGAAGATGCCATCACTCATTTGATGGAAAAAGAATCATCACAACCAGGATATAAAGTCTCCACAGACTGTTTAATGCTTTAAGTGAGAATGCATCTGGTGTGCTAAGCAGAAAATTCAAGGGCTTTTAAATCCTGTTCAAAAAATGCTCTTCCTGTTATATGGCAGTCAAATTAAAAAGCCTGGGTAATGAGAATTGTTTGAAGATTGGTTTGAAAATTATTTTTACCCTGCAGTTGAATATTATTGCAAAGATATTGACATGGATATTAAAATTTTGTTGCTATTGGACAATGCACCAGGTTATCCTACTTCTTTCTGAATGAAAATGTCAATGTAATTTTCATGCCACCGAACACATCATTATTACAGCCAATAATGGGTCAAGGTGTCATTGCTACATTTAACCCTCTCAGGGCAGTGCTTGTACTGAAGTTAGCTAACCTTAATTGGACACAGTGTCACAGTTTGTGAATTAATTTAGCTTCTGGTGAAAGTTAGTGCACTACTCAGTGTTGTGCATTAATTCTTTTTTTTTTTTTTCAGCCAAAAAAGAGTTGGAGTCAGAATATGAAAACCTTGGTGATTGCAAGATACAGTGAGTATAGTTTATATATATTTAAACTTAAAGCTAATTACTTCTTCATTTTAACTAAAATATAAATAAAAATTGTGGAATATATTAGTCTAGAACTGCATAAACAATTATGTCAAGACTTGTGTTATGTTTTTGTGTTGACATTGTTATAGAATTAAAATTTCAAGTGACCTTGCCATGCAAGAAGAAATGTCCGAGTGATGACTGTAGATGAAACCTGTTAAGTTACTGTTATATGGATATTTTTTTCTTTTTCAATGAACCGGCTGTACCCCACTGAGGCAGGGTGACCTAAAAAGAAAAACAATTTTTTTTTTTTTTTTTTAATTTATTAGTTTATACAGGAGAAGGGGTTACTAACCCTAATCTAAGAAGGTAGATCTGCACTTTCTCAAACTGAGTACTGCCCCTTCCCCTCTGCTCCCTTCTCTTTTGTCCTCATAAATGGGGATAGATATCCCATTTTGTAAAATTCCATTTCTTGATGACAGAGAGGTAACTATCTGACTTTGGTTGTCGCTTCACTCGAAGGAAGTTAGACTAACTTGCGGCATGTTTGGAGGCCCACTGCTGGCACATCAGATGGCCATCCAAAAGGTCCCATGATGGCAAAAGTACTACTAGAAGTTACCTGCAGTTCCAAGTGTAAGACTAGCATTTATTCTGATTTGCCCTCTTCCATGATTAGCAAGAAAACAATTGCTATGTAGGTCCTCTGGTCTAACCAAGTGGTTTTGCCAACCTTGCTCAGCAAATTCTGGAGGTGCCTTCCTAGTGTTTGCCACTGGGGGCAGCATTATTACCAGTTGCCTTGGAAGCAACTTTGGGCAAGGAAGAATTTGTCTTCTTTTCCTCCATTCTCAGAGATGCCCCCCCCCCTCCCTGACTTCTTGTATGCCAGATGAGACAAATGCTTATTCTTCAGGATTCTCAGTGATAGCAACACCCATTTTGAATGGGGACAGCAGGTGTAAGGGTTAAGCAATATTGTATACTTCAATTTACAGTGTATGCACAGGTAACTCACTAATTTTCAACTTCCAGATTTGATGCAGTCATGAAGTACTTTCAGTTTACTGGCAAAGGGAAAGATGTTTCACCTTACGACTTCTTTAGTGTGTGGTCACCATTCTGTAATGACTTTCTTAACATATGGCAGAAGGAACAATTGAAGATTGTCAAACAAAGGTTGGTTTTCTCTCCACTTTTGTTTTTGCTCTTTCACTAAACATATCTTTGCTCCATTCCTCTCTTCTCCTTCTTATCTTCCCTCCAGTTTCCCCTTTCCTTTCATTCTACAAGATTAAAGATTATTATTATTATTATAATCAAGGGGGAAGCGCTAAACCCGGAGGAATATACAACAAGATTAAAGAGTGCTTACAATATTTTTTTACATGTGATCATAAATGTTCTCAAACTCTCTCTTAAATAGAATGAAGGAAGCAGAAGAAAAAGTGCGGAAGATGACTGAAGAGAAGAAGGATGTTGCAAAGAAGACCAAAGAGGCTGGAGGATTGAAAAGCAAGCTGAAGGATAAGCTCAAGACTAAGCAGTGAGTTTTATCACCTAAAGAATTACTGTACGTATTTGGGAATGCAGTTTTACGCAAATTATGTATACTGTAATTGATGCATAATTAAGCACCTTACAGACTGAAAAATCTTGATCAGAAAACTGTGATGAGAAAATTTATTATCATATTTGTTTCATGAGTGATATAATCATCATATTTCTTAAAATTTTAATATCTTTCTTAGTATTGATAGTAATGTATAATAACTGGACTTTTGTAAATGATATTTATTAAAATCTTGTTTCTGAATATTTTTGAATGATCAGTATAAATCAAATTTTTATAAAATTAGGCTAGTTTTCAATGTTTAGAATTTCATTATACAGTGGACCCCCGCATAACGATCACCTCCGAATGCGACCAATTATGTAAGTGTATTTATGTAAGTGCGTTTGTACGTGTATGTTTGGGGCTGTGAAATGGACTAATCTACTTCACAATATTCCTTATGGGAACAAATTCGGTCAGTACTGGCACCTGAACATACTTCTGGAGTGAAAAAATATCGTTAACCGGGGGTCCACTGTATAATTAGAAATTAAATGCAATATATTTTCAGGCTTACTAAAACATTTTTTCAGTAATCAGAGAAGTGAGTAAAATAAGAAAACACTGCAGTATAAGGTTTTTACAGAAACTCACAACCTATATACCATTGGTCTTTCCACAAGGGAATATTGGGTTGAATGGCAGTGATTTTTTTAAGGTTGAGTGATGGCTTACTTTTCTGTGTGGAAGAATTTAAGAAATGCCAAATTGATGATTTTATTTTTGGTGGCATTATGGACAAATTAAAAGATTTAAATATCCTGAATTTCTTACAGTTTTGAAAATCATGTAATATGGTTGAAAGTATTTTTTTATAATAGAGATAAATTCATGAAATTTAGGAATATGAAAAATTTGCCAAGTTTAAGAAGTACAGTTCTGTATGATATTTTGGTCAAATTCTGAAGTCACAATTTGTATACTGTTTTCACATACCCTTTTCATGCTTTCATTGTCATTATCATACCATATATCCACTTCTTTATTAAGAAAAGGATATCAGATTAAACTGAATGTTTATGAATTGAAAGTATAAAGCAGAATCGTGTATACAACAAGTGCAGAGAAGTTTTTGGGAAAGTGCATAATAGATTCTCTACAGGAATCTCTAACTTTTTCTTCCTTTAAACTCACTACACATGATAGCTGTCAGATGAATAGTGGTAAATATATCTTATTCTTTCCAGTTTTTTAATTTCTGATAATCAGAAGTACAATAAAGCACCTAAATTACTGGGAACAGTTGAAGTCCTTTGACCTGTATTCCCTTGGAATGCAGGTGAGAAAAAATGCATCATAATATATGCTTGGAAAATCCTAGAGGGACTAGTCCCAAATCTGCACACAGAAATTACTCCCTACAAAAGCAAAAGACTCAGCAGGTGGTGCAACATTTCCCCAGTGAGAAGCAGGGGTGCCATGAGTACACTAAGACATAACACAGTAAGTGTCAGGGGCCCAAGATTGTTCATCTGCCTCCCAGCATACCTAAGGAGGATTACCAATAGACCCCTGGCTATCTTCAAGAGGGAGCTGGACAGGTACTACCTGACCAGCCGGCTGTGGTTCGTATGTCGGTTTGCATGTGGCAAGTAGATACAGCCTGGTTGATCAGGCCTTGATCCACCGCAAGGCCTGGTCATGAACCAGGACATTGACCCCCAAAACACCCTCCAGGTAACTAAGAATCGATACACATTGGAAACACCTTTGCAGACCAGTATTAATTGTTTTTGATCTAGGAAATCTTACAACTACCTGGATTTTCAGTATTTTGTCCCAAGCTCATTACTTAGGTCTGAGGCTGACTATTGGTTTCTCAGATTTTCCATTGAGAGGCACTTTAGTTTTCAAATAAACAACAGCCTTTACCCATATTTAGTAAAGGTTGAAAGCTTAGAACTACCTTATTCCTGATAAAAGATCTACTTTGGTTCTCCCAAGTATTTAGCCATTCTTATATACAGATTATTTTGCCATTGCTTGTGCAGGCCTAAACTGTCAGCTTGTTGAAACTATTCTCCAACACAGATAATGGTCAACTGGACTATATCAGTCACGTTCAAGAGATGCCCTGTCATTCCACATTATATTTCATACATGTATGGCTTCCCTACCCCAGTATTGCTATGGTTAAATTTCTTGGCCTTCTCTGATGAATGTCATGGTAATGACATTCAGTTATCAAAGAGAAGGCCAAAAGTGTCTTAAGTTGGCTAACTGTGGTTAAAACCTTAACCCATTTTACTTGGGGAGCTGATAGCCTTAATTCATGCAGTCTTAATACTGTCCAAGCTAGTACAGCCTTCCCAGATACTCTTGAGCTTTGTGCCCTTCCTCATCAGGCAATGTGTTTGTGTTGGGGCTTTTTGATCTTTCACTGTTGAGTTTGGATATTGAAGCAAACATCTCTTTGCAGAAGTGACATGATGCCCATTGTCCTCATTATTTTCTTCTTTTTCAAGACCTTCAGACATATCGTACTCTTTCTCCCCTCCTCTACTTGGGAAGTTCCAATAATTCATGTTCACTCCCTTCCACTTCCATGCCTGAAGGCTAACATATCTGTTACAAACTTACACACACTCTTCCTTGAACACGTTCACATTCTCGCCAACAATTCCAAACCCTCAGTTGGAGTAGGGTATGTGGCTGTTTTTTTTTTTTTTTTTTTTCAGATTGAGCAATCCAAGGACATTTACTAGTCAACCAACAGTTATGTGCAGTGTTTATTGCTATCATACACATTATAAGAATGCCCACCTCACTATTTCAATCTCATGGCTCAGTTGGCAGAGCACTTGCCTCACACACTGAGTGTTCGTGGTTCAATCCCAGGCATGGGTGGAAACATTGGGCATGTTTTACACCTGCTGTCCCTGTTTACCTAGCAGTAAGTAGGTACCTGGGTATTAGTCGACTGGTGTAGGTGGCATCCTGGGAGACGAGATTGAAGGACCCCAATGGAAATCAAAAACCTTGATGACTTTCTTAGGTTATTCTGGGTTAAAAATTCAAATGAATCTTATACATCTAAAGTTCATGTCAAGCTGTTTTGTCCATATATATGACTCCTGGCATTACATCATACTTCATAGAAAAAAGTGAGTGTTAAATTTCTAGTAAGCACACTAGTATTTTGCTGGCTTCGTGGACACTGCTGTTGAGGGCAAGGAAAAAGCAGACTGTCATTTAGTCAGTTCTACATGATCTCTTAATCTTCCACCAGGGTGTCCCTTTTTCACAGTATGTACTGTATTTTTCCAGTACTGTTCTGAAGACTGAAACTTCTGGCAACAGCTTTGGTCAGAGTAGGTTTCCTGCAAACTGTAATTAGGTTCCTGGCTATTTTCTTCCCATTGTTGCTGGGGGTGGGAAACTGTTCACACATTACAAGTCGGCCAGCATGACGCACGAATATCGTATACAAAGATGTATGGTGCCCCTCTGTGAGGACTGCCAGGTAGCTCTATCATAGATATCAGAGAGGAAACACAACTAATTTTTTCAACAGCTTCAACTCCTGATGCACTCTAATTGTCCTCCGAGTAAGTCTCGACCTCACTAAGTCGTATCCCTAAAACATAAACCACATCTGCACTGTATGACCCATATGGGTTTGGCCCTTATTTGCAAATATAATTGCTAATCACCTATCTATAAATCTTCCAGAAGTAGTAATCATTTTTCTTCAGGCAAGTATTATTTTTAGCCTAAATTTCATTTGACCTTTATTATTAACATTATTTTCTTTGTATAAAAAATGCAACTCTTCTCTCCATAGTGACTAAAGATGTTGGCCTCAGTGAAAGTCCTATACTGCCCTTCCTCCCCTGAAAAAAATAAAAAAAAAATTGGCCAATGCATCACTTAGCTCTTCATAGTCACTCAGGTGTTATGGATCTCAGTGTGTGGTAATGATGGTGCTTCCAATGATAAGTCCTGCATGATGTCTGGTGTGCAAGGCCAGCAGTGCTTTTCATGTCTTTATAATAATACTTGTTATTAAACTAATTGTTAGAAATGTTTATTTTATTTACCCTAAGTTTCTATAACTATATACACTCAATTGCCATTTCCTTAAATACAGTATTTAACCTTTTCCAATAATTACTTTTATTCTAACATCATTTCTGTATAGCCCTTGTGGCTTAGTGCTTCTTTTTGATTATAATAATAATCTAACATCATTTACCTTGTACTCTTATTCTATGTTATCACCATATTCACAAAAAGGCTTTGTTTTTTAAGTAACTGATACTGAAAAGGGATTACCAGCCTCTTGCTCCTGGCTTGTTCATCACCTCTGACAAGTGTGGCTTATGGGAGGAAGATTCTATCCAATTTCCCAGAAATAAAATGAAAAACTACATGGGTAAGAGATTTCGAGGCTGGTGTCTTGATGCTGGTGAAGGGCTCTGTATCCAATAAAATTAAGCTACACTACCTTTCCTTGTATCTACTGTGATTGCCTCCTATTTCTTAGGAGCTGAATAACTTCTATGGGTTTAGCTCTCACTCACCCCCTACCTTCCCAGGAATGTAACAATACTGTACATTCATAAGATAAAAATGCATATACATACATGTATAAAGGGCATTGCCAAAGTTTGTAGGTATAGGTGAGTGGGTGCTGATGTGAAGAGGAATACTTAGCAGATTAAGGTAAAGAGGGTAGTGAAGGAGGAAAAGTTAGCATAAGAATTTGTATAATGCAGAACCCTTTGAGAAATTCCTTGATGCCAGTGAGGGGCTTTTGATCTAAGGAATTGGGCCTGTGCTGCCCTTTCCTTGAATCAACCCTACCTCATTTGTTATTTGTGCCTAGGGATCTACTACAGCAGGTCACCTAAAGCCAATAATAAGCAAACAAGAAGCAGCTGTATCAATGATCACCCAGTCTACTGCCAGACAGCACACAACCCCCACTCTTCAAAAGTCATAACTAACTTGTACATAAAATTCACTCATACTACTGTGCATATTACATTTACAGGTGTTTTTGATTATAATAATAATACATTTACGGGAAATCAAATCTAATATCAACCCTGCCATAAAACTTTCTTGATACCTGCACCTCTTCAAGGGGGGCTCCTTGGCGTGGTGAAGAGGCTCTTGGTCTGAGGAATTAGACCTGTCGGTCTTCTTCCTCAGACCGAACCTAATTACCCCCCAATCTCCCCTCCCCTATCCCATCCTCCTCATCCTCCCCTTTTTCCCTTCCTCCTCCTCCCCACCCCTCCCTTTTGCCCTTCCTCTTTTTGGCCTTTGGGATTTCTCCCACAGGCGCGCTAGTTCCTAGGTAGGGGAAAGGATACCGGGGTCTATCCCATTCCGTTGAGGTTCTTGGCAGTGGCGTAGTTTGCCGTGGAATCTGGATCGCCTGGGGATGTCCCGATCCCTCTCCGGTATCCCGGAGTAGCTTTGGGTGTCTTTCGGGCGACGGGTGTATCTCTGGAAGCCACCTTTCGGATTCCGGGGGTGGTGGCCGAAGGAGGTATGCTTTGTGGCGGATATCCGGCCGCCCTCTCTTTTGTCCACTGAGGTAGCTCGGCAGATGTGAGGTTGCTATCCCGGATTGTTAGTTTACTAGCATGATGGGTAGGGTATGGCACGGGTTCCATGCTGCATCTGCGCTACTTGCAGTGCTGAGGTCCTCTTGGGCGTGGAGGGAGATTTCTGGCCCTTTCATTCCTCCTAGGAACTATCCCTCCCCGGTCCCCCCTTTTTTTATTCTTTTTTTTATTTTTATTTTCTTTTCTTCTTTCTTTTTTTTTCTTAAAAACAAAAAGAAAGAAGTAACCTAACCATGGCAGCCCTAGTCCATGAACCTACTACCCCCGGGCCCCTTCTTGATACCGCACCCCGTTCTGACCCCGCCTCGTCTTTGGACCACTCTTCAGACACTCCTCATGCCTCTGTACCTATTGCCGGTACTGTTTCCTCACCCGCTTCAGGTACTGAGGCCTCGACTGACTCCTTCGATTTATCGGACCTTCGCTCTCCTCTGACTATGCTTCCGGCCCTCTCCTCTACGGTGCGGCAATTTTCAAATCGCCGACCCGTTCCACGTCGGACCAACTCTGGTCCCACGCCTAAACGCCAACGACAATTACCTGCTGATGATACTTCTCCACCTTCTCGTTCTTCTCAGAAACGATCGACACGTCCTTCACTACCTTTCCACGCTCAGTTTCAGACTGAACAATGGACTAAATTCTTCACTTTACGACCGACTTCCTCTACTGCCTATCTTTCTGACCATAGTATTGGCAAGGCACTCCTACGCCATGTTGGTAAAGATATTTCTTTTCATGCTCTTAAGAGCGGTACGCGCATCATTACCGTACAGAATGCTACCCAGGCTCATGAGCTCTCTCGTCTTTCCCATATCGATACTGTTCCTGTCACTCTTGAAAAACATCATTCCCTCAATTCTTGTAGTGGTACCGTCATTCTGCCCATACCATAGTTCAACAAAATTTCCAGACATGTGGCACTGACATTCTTGAACAGCTGGAACTCCAAGATCTCCCAATCCTCAAGTTAGACACTTACGTTCTTCCTGCCCGCGGGCGGAGACGATACCCTAGCAATGTGGCTCGTTTAACTTTTGACAGCCGAGAACTCCCATCCTCAGTTTATATAGCAGGACATCGGTTACAAGTTCGAAAGGTGATCCCTACACCACAACAGTGTAGGAATTGCTGGCGATTTGGCCATCCAGCGAAATATTGCAGATCTATCGCCGAATGCCCAGTCTGTGGTGCCGATGACCATTCTAATACGTCTTGCAATCGATCTCCCTCTTGCCTTAACTGTCATGAGGCTCACCCTTCGTACTCTCGCCGTTGTCAAGTCTATTTAAACGAGTGGGAAATCCGTTACCTCAAAGAGACAGAAGGTCTCCCTTATGCCATGGCAGTTTCTCATCTCCGCCTCCAAGGGAGACTCCCACGTGTTTCTTATTCCCGTGTTTCAAAACGTCCCCCCACTTCTGGTATCCCATCTTCTACACCCACCTCTGTGGTTACCTCTCCCATAGTCACTCCTGTATCTAATCCTTTTGCTGTCCTCGGCTCAGACCTCCCTACTTCAACGCCTCAGTCTAATCTCGCTTCTTCGAGTTCTCTCTCACAAGCCTCAGTACATGTATCGACGAGACCTCATACGACACCTCCTCCCAATCGTCCCTCTACTTCTCAAAAGTCAAAAAAAGGTCCGTTAACACCTCCTACCCATCTTCCACCTCCTCATTTTACCCTCCCTGTCTCTGTCCCTGGTTCTTCCCCTCTCACGGGCTCAGTTACAAGTGTAGAGGTTCACCCTCCTCGTACTGTACCTTCCTCCCCTGTTCCCTCCCAAGTTTCTTCCTCTTCTGCCACCTCCCAGGTTCCTGCCTCTTCTGTCCCCTGCCACGCTTCTCCAGTTCCCTCCACCCTTTCGCCCCCCCCCCCTACCTTGGTACAGTCCAATACAGTTCCAATCTTCACTCATCCTCCCCCTACCATTTCCAATATTGTCTCCCATACGACGTCTCTGAATTCTGAAACACTTGAAGCAATCTCTGAATATATTGCAGAGACCAAACCATCAATGGACACTGATCCACCTTCCGCTCTTTCTCTCTCCTCTCCTCCATCTGCGCAACTCCTTTCTTCACAGCGCACCGTTCCTTCGCTGCTTGAACGTTTTCCACTGCCTCCTCATGTGGACTTTTCTAACCCCTCTAGTCCGTAGGAACCCTTACCTGCGGATTTCAAGTATCTTTATCATTGCCAATCATGGCCTATTTACAGTGGAATATGCGCGGCCTCAGGGGTAATCGGGGTGAGCTTCAGATGTTACTCTCCCAGTTTGCCCCTGTTGGTGTTTGCTTACAGGAACCAAAATTACACTCTGCTGTTATTTCTCACATCTCAGGCTATAATTTATTGTATTCTTCAGATCCTTTTCCTGATGGGACCTTTAATGAAAGTGCCCTTCTTCTACGCACTGATATTCCGTACCATCAGCTATTTGTTCATACTTCGCTGCATTACACAGCAGCCCGTATCCACTTACATAGGTGGTATACGCTCTGTTCTTTATATCTCTCTCCTTCTCGGGCATTATCTATTCCGGATATTGCCTTCCTTGTTTCGTCATTACCGCCACCGATTCTGTTACTTGGTGATTTAATGCCCACCATTTCCTCTGGGGGGGTCTCACTGTGATTCCCGTGGAATTCAGTTAGAGGCTTTTCTTGCCACCCACCCCTCCATGTTTTAAATACAGGTACTCGCACCCATTTTGATCCTCGGACTCATACTCTCTCTTGCATCGATCTCTCAGTCTGCTCTTCCTCCGCCGCATTAGACTTCACTTGGTCTGTTCTCCCGGACTTACATGACAGTGATCATTTCCCAATCATTCTTACTTCCCCTTCATATTCGCCACCTCTTCGCACCCCACGCTGGCAATTTAATCGGGCAAATTGGAACCTTTACTCACACCTAACTGTTTTTAAAGAGGTTCCTTCTTCGTCCTCCATCGATGAGCTTTTACACCTCTTCTCGTCCTCCGTTTTCACTGCAGCTTCTCATTCTATACCCCAAACTTCAGGCAGGCATTCTCAGAAATGCGTGCCTTGGTGGTCTCCTGCTTGTGCTCGTGCAGTACGTTTGAAATGCGCTGCATGGGGCAGGTACCGGTACAATAGAACCACAGAGAGACTCCTTGATTTTAAACAGAAGCGTGCGATCGCTTGCCGTGTCATCCATGATGCTAAACGCACTTGCTGGCGAGATTGTCTCCACCATCACCTCTGCTTCCTCTATGAGTGCAGTCTGGAAAAAAGTACGAAAACTGAGTGGTAAATATTCTCCTGACGCGGCTCCTGTTCTGCGGGTTGCCGGTGTTGATATAGCAAACCCACTAGATGTTGCCAATGAAATTGGCAATCATCTGGTCCGTATTTCTCAGGGACTCCATCTATGCCCCTCATTTCTTTCCTCAAAGTCTGCCAGAGAGTTAGCACCC